TGTGGACAGGAGTTCGAAACTCCCAAAACGACACGTGAATATTTGTGTGTAAGCGTCCATCCCACAATCGCTTGTCTTAAAAATAAATAAAACAAATTACAAACCCTTTGAAATAGCACTTAAAATAGCATACATAAAAAGACTTCCACTCAAAAACCTAAGGCATCCACAACCCCATTTATATACAGAAAACAATTAGGCCATGTTTTAGCCTTTTTCATTCTTTTTGGTCAGACAGTCCATGTTTTAGCTAGGCTGAGCTCAATCATGCTCAATATCCGCAAGAGAGTCTGCCACCAAATTACTTTTCTCAATCCAAAGTTTCCATTTGGGTTAAGGCCATGAAGTAGTAATGAGTGAACTTGCAAGTTTAAAAACTTAAAAGAAAAACTTAAGCAATTTTTTTTAAACTAGAAAATGATATCGTATGCGCACTACCCCAAGTTTCAAAAACATGTAATAATGAGTTTACTTCCATTTTGCTCATCAAGGTTATCTAATCAGCATTAAATCATTTAATCTTCATGAAATGGTTGGTGAATTATGTGCTTTTGCTTTTGTATGGATGGATTTTAGGGCGACATTGTTTTCAATTTGCTTCTGCTAATGTGGGTCTTAGGGAATGATTTGAAGCAATAACGAGAAAAAAGTTAATACTGAAATAGTGCAAAGGAACATGTAAAGTGAGAGATTGTATCAAACACAAAGAGCTAATGGGCCATCCCTTGTAATTGGATATCTAAAGGGAAAAAAACTCGAACAAAGTGGCCCCACTACGATTGGAAATATACTTCATTCTTCTCCACTTTGAGAACCTTAACAATTGACGAAGGATTTCATGAAAATTCAAATGGGTATCTAACAGAAATCATATTCTTTTGATTCAATGAATACATGATGAAAAGAGGGAAATTTGGACATGCATACTCATCAATATGCGGATATTGTAAGCATATGAAAGGATGCTAGTATATAATTGTTTTTTCGTCCATAAATTTGGTTTGGTTCTGTGCAAATAAATGATACCATAGTGTATTTATGTAAGCGATATTGTGGGAAGAGGGGGGAGGGAGAAAAATCGAACACATGACTTTGGATGTAGGGATAACTGCTATTAACCACTTGAACTAAGCCCTTTGCAATTGGGTAGCAATTTTGGCTCATCTTTTGGTCATATGCACTCAAGTGCAATATTGCACAATTTTTTCGCACTCACATAATGAGTTTTAAAATTACTAACCTAATGAGTTTAGAGCAAAGAATAAAGAAAGTAATACTTAATAAGAATCAATAATTATTAATTTAGTGGTATTTCTTTTTAATACACAGTTGGTTAGATAAATAAAAAAATTACGGATATTCAAATTGGTACATAATTTCCTATTTATTCTGACTTTTTTGCATGAATAATCTTTGAAGGGAATATTAGAAAAATAGACCATAGCTCCTAAACGTTGAATATGACATCCCAAATTCATAGAACAGGTCCTACAATAGACCTTAAATTCAAAAAAATTATCCATGATTCTATAGAACACAAGCATTCCAATTTCATGAAGTGGTATCTAGGGAACACCACGTTCATGGATTCAACCAAGCCATAATAAATACATGATTCCGAAGACAAATAATGGTATCTCAGAGTTGATCGGATATCTTAGTCCCATCCCACCCATTGACTAATGAGAGCAAAGGGAGTGGGTATAAACAACCCTTGGCTAAACCCTTCCACAGTTCCAATGAAAGCAACTAATGAGATCAAAAGTGATGAACTGGTTTTTTCAATCAGCACCATCCATTCTGGTTGAGAATTGACACAAGGGATGACATTTCTATATAAAGGATATTCCAATTCCCAAAAAATATCACTCTTTCTCACTTTTGCTATTAATTTTATATTATTGATATATCAATTCCAAATTGATTGTTGGATGCATTATGCTCAACAGTTGATAATCATTCATGCGCTCGTACAAAATGCATATTCAATTAAAGGCAACCGAAGATGGTTTTATAATTAAAATTAGCCTTAAATTTAATTTCCACATAATCATACATTGGAATAGAACATGATGATGACTAATTGTATTCTAAAGAGTAAAGATTAAAAGATGCATTTGTTCACAAACTGTGTGTGTATGAGATTGCGTTGTCCCAATAAAATAAGATTCATGCAAAATAGGTCAATAAATCATAAAGAACTCAAAGAAGATTTGGTACTGCTACTTTTTCTTTTTTGTTTCCTGAACTACCCTCCTCCCCCTTTGGCCTTGGTGAATCTAAGGCCAAATATAATGAAGATTTACGAGGCAGTCAAAGGTATGCAGCATTTGATTTTCTTCCAAGATTCCTTATTGCTTTTTTTTTTGTTCTCTTTGTTTTGTTGGCTTTCAGACCCATCCCCCATTCTTCTTCCTTCTTTTCCTTTAATGAGGTTTGTATCCGTTTTTAAGACAAGGTTTTGTTCTTTGTTTTCAAAATGTGACGAAGCTTTCTCACATGTCACTGTCTTTGGCATATTCTCTTTCATAAACAAAGTTCATTTTACCTCTGCATTTGTACCCAATAATATATTTATTTGTCCCTTGGATGTAGACCTCTCACTCTCACATACGTTTATAATCCCAGACTACAAGAATTTTGGTGTTTCCTTGCTTGTTTTTTAGTCAATTTTTTGGATGAGATTAAAATTATATAGGGTTAGGAATGTATAGGAATGCTTGTGCTTGTGATTTTGTAACTAATTCATCAGGGAAAACAATTTTAAGAGAAATTCTTATGTGTCCCGTACATTGTGTCAAACTTTTACACACCAAGTATATGATGCATCGTAAAAAGTGAGATTTACATTGTACTTGTGAAAGTTCGACGAGGTACCTATCCGACGAGCAATTTTTTTTTCTTCAATTAATTAACATATATGGTCGGATTAAATCTTACAAATATTAAGATGATCATGAAGATCAACATTGTTGTGCAGTTACAATGTTACATGAGGGATATACAACGCAAAATGTTTTATACATAGAGGATCCAACATGGTGGAATATCAAACTTTTTATATTGGTTTTTCCTTTTCTTATTTTTACTATAAGCATGCATTGAAACAGGAAATTTCTTTTGGCTATAATGATTTACTGTCTGAATAATTAGATAATTATTCGAGACTATTTTTGCTATGTTCTTCTTTCCACTGCTCCACAGTTCCCTTTTGGAATTACGATAAAATTTTCTTTTGTTTCTTTTGTACATTCCCAGATTCATTTGATTATTTCTGTATCTGGAAATTGATTGGCAAGTATATATATACCTTTCACGAGATTGATGTGAAAAACTAGGGCATGGTCCAGACTCAAAAGTATGTTATAGGACCACCGTATTTCAAGTTTGAAAAAAGGATAAAATCATTTGACTTAGTCTAAAACAATTGAAGAGCCTCTAGATTTTGAGTGACATTGTACATTGTATAAATATGCAATCATTTATAGGCTAACTCGTCTATGTTTATTTGGTCTTGAAATATATTTCAATTTCGATCCAATTTTGAAATTTCGAAATTTTTGGATTTCAGAACCTTCCAATGTCGGAATCGACTGAGATCAGAATTTTCAATCCAACTTGCACCCCTAATTATATGTAGTATGCTTTTAAAATGTAGAAAATTCGACAAAACTAATAATAATAATAATAATAATAATAACGTGTTGGTGTTTGTATTGATCCAAATAGTGAAATATACGTGCCTCAACACTAACTATTACTCCTATTGATACAATGTTATTAACAACATTTAATAAATGTGGACATATGTGTAGTTCACACAGTACAATATTGGCCTGCTGAAGCATAGCACCCACCTTGCATTACATATTGACATATGTGTGGTAGGAAGGCATCTCTTCCCTCTTCCAGGCATTATATCACCTTTTATATTTTCTACCAAATATCATGAGGTTCTGGCCATTTCAATAGTCTTGTCATTCATGTAGCTCCCTAACACAGCATTCAATATGACTAGGCCCGGCTAAATAGATACATTTGGATTTATGTGGAGGATATATCTCAAGGCTTATGAAATTGAATTTGCTCCATTAGCTGTAGAAACATGCATGGGAATATTAGGATGGTCCTGTAATTGTGAGTCAACACATGCCTCGTGTCCTGATTATGTGCATTTCCAAGGGACAAGCTAAGTCTCTCCAGCCCAGTGGCGATTGGGATTATGCACGGGATGAGTTCATAGCCCACTCTTGAAGATGAAGTACCATACATCTCAGAAGATGGGCCATGTTTGTTCATCAATTGTTTATGGGCTTCATAGTGCACCCAACTAATTAATCAATATACTTATTCTCAATTTGTTATTTTCTACTTTCCCATAAGTATTATCGGCTAGCCATCATCCTTTCATAAACTTTCCCATTAGTATATAACCAGATAATTTAAAAATAATCATATCAAAAGTTAAGTTTTTTGATATATGTAAAAAGAACATAAGATTTTTACTTGATTGTTTGAAATGATCGAACCAAATCAATCTTCAAATGAATTTATTTGGTTTGATTCGGTCTAATTTGAGACTAACCCAAACAAATAAAAACTGCGATGATTTAATGTCAGGCTGAAACCGAACCAAACCGTATCATATGCACAAATGTTGGTCTGAAACCAAACCGGCCCATCAATATTGGGCCGAAACCAAATCACAGTGCTCATGCCCTTATCCATTGGGCCGTGGGTTCTATAGGTCTGACCTTAGGGCTTTGCCCAGTGTGAAACTGAACCCAACCCAACACAGAATGGCAATGGAGCTTGGACTGAAAGCTTGAGGATGTCCGAAAGGAAAGCTTAAATATAGGGGTATTTATAGGGTTTGTACATAAGATTAGAGGTCGTCAAACCCTTTTCATTGGATACGTTGACCTTCAAATCACAATCGTGAATGACAAATTGACAATGAGAATTTATATTATAGCATTTTAACAGCCAAGCATCCAATTTTTATTTTTAGGACCTAAACTGAAAGTTGAGGAACGGTGGAAGTGAATTGAAGCCCACCAAGTACCCAAGCGAACCCGAAGAATGAGTTCGGCACTTCGAGTGTTTTGAGAGAGAAGAACCAAACCTTTTTCCTATAACATGTCTCATAACTCACACTGATTTCGTTTTTTCTTTCTTCTTTAACACTTCAATCCTCATAAACGCAGCAACAACAACAATAGCAGTAACGTTTTTACCATAATTTTCTTTTTTGTTTTGGAAAATTTAAACCCGTAACAATGGCGGCATCGTTAATACTTTCCCGAAGAGTTTCATCTGTGGGCGTTTCTCGCACTCTCCACGGTTCGTTCCTTCATACCCACATTTTTTTTCCTTTCATTTAGTTGCTTTTGTAGTTATAAGGTGTTTGGTTGATGAGAAAACGGTGGAAAAAAGAGCATGCTTTATGTTGCTTTTTATTTGGTTATGGAATGTTCTTCTTTTAGGATGAATAAAGTCAACCCAAGTTTAGAAATTTGATTTTAGTGGGATTAAACTGAGCATAAGTATTGAACTGTTGGATTCTGCATTGCAATATCAGTTGAGAATTGCTAGCCTAGAAACTGCAGGAGTGTTCGTTATGTATCATTCCTGTAACTTGAGAAATCACCAGTGCATTCGTGAGTCTAATGCAATCATCTGACTTACGTGATTTGATTTTATCATGTTAAATATAATATTATCCAATAGGAGGGTTCTGCTATTTTCCATTTTTAATTTGTTTCAAATATTAGTACTTACAACATGTTTGGAACTCATTGTGAAAACTGGAACAAGTATAGTTTTTCCATTTTCCAATTCTCATGTGCTTACTTATCAGATATTTTAGCAGATTTATTTCCCCAACTTTGTTGGGTAATGAGGGAAAGGGAAACGCTAAATGAAGATCAATTATACCGCTAATTCTAATGTAGTAGGTTGAGTTTTTGTTCTTTAGTCCACTTTTATCTTTTTACCATCAAGAGCATGCGTGCACTGCATGCTTGCTTTGAGAGAAATGTGGCCTGACTTCCTTTCTTGGCCTACTTTTCTTTCTCTTCAAAAAAAGTGGATAGATATGAAGAGAAAATTAGATCGGTGTTGTTTACCTTTTTAATATACCAAAAATATATTCATTAAAATTTGTAGATGTCCCCGGCTTCATAAGCCGACATGTTTATACTTGTAATTAGTCAAGGATGTTATGAGCTCTTGGGATTTGCTAATTCAGAATTTCTAGATTGATTCATGTGTAATTTCATAATCCGAGTGTTGCTATAACTCGTTTTCTGTTTTCATGTGGTTTCTTATTGTTACATTTCCACAGGCTTAGCAGGTAATATGGGGCCCCTTTGCCCGCATTTGGAATTGAAGGTCGCAACTTTGGTTGATGTTTTTGATAAGACAAAGCAGTATAGTAGCTCCAGTGGTGCCACAAAGTTTGATTTTACAGACCTGACGTAAGAAATTTGTTGCTCGTAGCTATTTATTGCCTTGGATATGCAATTGTAAATTATGTAAGACTTGTTTGGAAACAAAGTGTAACTTCCAGTTTCCTATTGTCTTGCATAGCATTCTGGATGAGTTTGTTCTTTTTTGTATTTTCTTTTGTTCCCACTTTCGAAAATGATTTTATTCCTTTGCTTTGTAGGTTCAATTTAGATACTTAAACAGTCATTTTATTAAAAAAAAAAATCATATGTAATATGTGGTATGACAATTTTACGATTCAATATAATGTGATTTCTCAACTTCTTACTGTATCTTTCTAATTTTGGTCACTCATATTGTACTTCAAGTGGATAAATGGAGCCAAGCTTGGAGTTTACATACAGCTGTTACTAGAGGCTCAAAGCTTAGGACTTAGGATCCAACAATGTGTCATTTTCCTTTTATATTCCTCTTTGGATTGTTATATTCTTTTTTTCCATGAAGAGCATTTAGCATCCTTTAGTTTTATCCTCATGATTGAATGTGGTCAAATTTCAGTTCTCCTCATACATGGTATCCAAAAGCTCGAAGTAAGCAACGCAAGGTCATCCTGCACATGGGTCCCACAAACAGTGGTAAAACGCACAATGCTCTGAAGCGACTCGAATCAAGTCCATCTGGTATGTTGTGCGTTGCAGTGGTTTCGATTATTCAGTTTACTCAGGTAATTAATGACAAGCTATTATAATAATGCCTTGAATATAGTTCGGTATTTTTTTTCCCCTTCTCTGCAGGCATATATTGTGGTCCCCTGAGATTATTGGCTTGGGAGGTTGCCAAACGGTTGAACAAGGCAAACGTTCCTTGTGATCTAATTACAGGACAAGAAAGAGAGGAGATTGATGGTGCAAAACATACGGCTGTGACAGTTGAGATGGCTGATGTAACCTCCCACTACCATTGTGCCATTATTGACGAAATTCAGGCAAGTTGATTTTATTTATGTGGACTCTAGAGATTTGCTTCCTACCTTTTAGAAACCTTTTAAAGATCAGTCTGTGTTGTTTTAATTGAGATTGTGGTGTTTGGTGGAAATGGAAAATTATTGAGGCATATGGACTAGTGCATGATCAAGGAAATGATCTAAGTACTTGTTTGTATCCAAGTATGAGTCAGAAATTTTGTTTAGAGTTTTCGGTCAGACCGCCCAAGAACATTTTTCCTTCACAAGTTAACTCAAGAGTTGGTTGAAGACTTTTCTCTGCTTTCTGGATTAATTTTTTTTCTTTTTCTCTTTGGTCAGATGTTGGGTTGTAAGACAAGGGGTTTTTCATTCACACGTGCTCTATTAGGAATTTCTGCTGACGAACTTCACCTTTGTGGAGATCCAGCTGCTGTTCCTCTTATTCAGGAAATACTGAAAGTGACCGGTGATCATATTGAGGTAATAGGGTTTTTTGGAGCCAGCTTTGCTAAAGTCTTTCTTGTTTTAGTAAAGTAGTTTGTATTGGACCAGAGGGATAAGGATGCTACATAATTATTTGCTAGGTATTTTTCTCTGTGCATGTGTTTTACTCATTTGAACTATTAATAAAGATCCCAAACTGTAATGTCCATGCTGTAAGTTCATTTCACTTTGACTGTTTCAGAAAGACAATAATGAGAAGCCTACTGCAATATCAATAATATGTTTACTGTATTTTGCAGCCAGAAACTAGGTGTTAAAGGATTTTCCTTTGTATTTATTCTGGTTTCCACTTATGAAAGTTTTCTATATGAGTAAGAGGGAGGGATATATAATCTGAATTTTATTTTGAGAAATTTTGAGAGTGTCCACTACTTTCCTTGGATCGTTTGACAAAAGTATGTATTCGGGACATCATTGATTTGTCTAAAATTTTGAGGAGACGACGGTTTGACATTTGAATGAAAATTTCCCATCAACTCCAATAAACCAGAAGCTCATGATTTGTATCTCCTTAGATTGATTGTATTGGTTAAGTGCTGTTATGAGCATATGATGTGTGTATTCAGTAATGCTCTTCCAATTACCTTCTGTCACTTGTTTTTATCTTTGTTCCTCTCAATGTGTTCTTGTTTTTGGTTTTGATTAGGTTAACTTCTATGAGAGACTTTCACCTCTTGTTCCAATGAAGGTCCCTCTCGGTTCCTTTTCTAATATAAGGACAGGCGACTGCATTGTAACCTTTTCACGTCATAAAATATACAAATTGAAGGTAGTGATCGACAATCTTGTATTTGTTTTTGTATGTCATGAAATATGTAGGTGCACGTGTGTGCAGTTTATGTTTAACGCAAGACCTACTTTCAATATTTTTCCTAGTTATATCTTCTTAGATTAGTTTCCTGATGTGTTTGTGTTTGAAACTTGAGCTTATCTGTGTACGGTATGAACTTTTATTTATTTATTTAGGTATGCTTTATGTCCCAAAGAAGAAAAGTTTCTAGAACTTTTATTAGTTATAAGCTCTTCTCTGGAGGGAAAAGAAATGAAGATGAGAAATGGCATCTTAGTTTCTATAATGCTGGATTAACCTAAAGGATAGATTTTGAAAGACTGAACTGACTGTGTGTATCTTGTATGAGATGCGTGATTTGTCTTTGTTGGCTGGATGGGAATAATAGAGATGGCTTCTCTGAGTCTTGATAGTAATAATATATTCTACTTTGAGGTACATATGAGATGAGGCTTGGAAAAGAGACACTAGAAAGGAATTTGGGTGTTAAAGGAAAATTTTGAGTCTAAAAATGGTCGTTGGTTGAGAAAGCTTTATTCTATTCTCTCAAGTCTCAGTAGAAAATGTTTCCCTGCTATACTAATATTTACTTTTGTTTCTGGGCTCAAAAAGGACTTTTTATTTTATTTTATTTTATAAACGTTTTATTGCTGAAGCTGTTTGAACTTCTGTTGATGTTCTTTGTCTTTCTTGATTCTATTCATTTACGGTATTACCGTTGTACTAACTTGTCAAAGTGCATTTGTTCATTTATTGTATTGCTAGAAAGAAATTGAAAATGGGGGAAAGCATCTTTGTTCTGTTGTTTATGGTTCACTCCCACCAGAGACTCGAACAAGACAGGTATTAGTTCCTTCTTGCAAATAGGTATCCTTTTTCTTAAATGATTTCCTTTAGTGACAAGCTTACTGTCTTGCTAAACTGTTTTGAATGTAAAAGAATAAAATGAGATTCCAATTCAATTGTGGATGTTTTTGGTTGTAATGATTGACTTTCTAGTTTAAACCTTTTATAATCACCACAATTTCTTGGTTAATATACCCTTTAGGACTGCAGGCAACAAAGTTCAATGATGCAAGCAGTGAGTTTGATGTTCTTGTGGCAAGTGATGCAATTGGGATGGGTCTTAATCTGAACATTTCACGGATCATATTTTCAACAATGAAGAAATTTGATGGTTTTGAGAAGCGGGAACTCACTGTACCTGAGGTCAAACAAATTGCAGGTACTCCTTTGGGTTAATAGCATATACTTTAAAGTTTAAACTTGTAAGTCCATATAGGCGAGGTTCATATTTTAGTTTGATGCTAATGCTAGTAGCCTATTTGTAAGTATATCTGTATTTAATTTCTTCAGAATTTTATCAAGGCAGCCCAAATAAATCTTCCCAAAATCTAGGTCTCCGAACATTGATCCTAAAACCCTGGTTTTATATAAACCTATATAATACCTGTCATACACTCTAGTCTATGCCAGTTCTGTTAGGATTTTGGCTCGTCAAATATGTCCTAGTTGGTTTAGGATTGTTTTAGGAAAATTAGAGGTATACCAATTCTTGTCCTAGAGGGATTAGGAAAGAATTTCAGTTTTCCTTATTCAATTCAGGTTTGGATTTCTAGAAGTCTATTAGGATTTGGATAAGTGTAATTTCCTAATCTACTTAGGAATAGGAATCCAATCAGCCTTGGGACATGTAAGCCAACTCTATATCTATAAATAGGGTGTGGCAAGGCTTATTTTAAAGAGAGGAAAAACAGCCAGAGACAGCCAAGAGTTTTGAGATTAGTTCTAGGGTTGCAAAAGTTCTGTAATCTCTATTATTAATCAAAGGAGCGGTGATTTCTCTACCTAGAGAAATCACAACTGGACGTAGGCAAAAGTTCTGCCGAACCAGTATAATTCTTGTGTGTTTCTAAGTGTTTTAATATTTGCTAGTTTAGTCTATTGCCGTTGGTTACATCAAAGAACAAGATCTAGAAGGCGGGTTATTTAACAAGTTCTGTGAGGCATTTTCCTAACCAAGAAGCACAACCTAAGTCTTTTTCATGGTGTAAATCCTTAGTCTATTCCTCCCCCACCCCATGAATCTTCATCAACTTCCACAGCAACAATTTCTGATCTACTCTAAAGTTCCGAGCTATTGTTTGTAGCTCTCCTTCACTCTTCCCCTTCTCTCTTATCTTTATGTTGGTGATTTCTTGAAATTTTTAACGAACCAATTTTTGGATTTGGTATGTTATGAGGTTTTTAAGCTCTCTTGATGGCACGTGTCTGTTACTCTTATGGTTCATGAAAGACTCAAGGGGGTGTCACCTATGTGCACATGAAGTACATCAAATTAAAGATGCAGAGAAAGGGCATAATCTGACAAATATACAAGGAGTATGGGTGGCTTGTAAAGACGCTATTCTGAGTATCCTTTGGTCCTTTGGATCAGCTCCTTCAGATGCTCTACTACTCTCCAACCACAAGTGCCAGAAAAGGCATCACGAAAACATCTTCCTCATCTAAAAATGAACAAGTCTGTTAAGAGCTTGTTTCGTCTTAAATCTTTTATTACTTTGACCACAATTTCATGCTATCTGTTAGTGCTCTATGTAATCGTCATATAAAAACCTATGAGGTGTGTGCATCATTCATACTCCCTGCTTTTAAGAATCCCTGATTTGCCCTAAGGCATTAATATGTCATTACCATGCATTCTCATAACCTCTAGTTACTGCAAGAAATACTTCATAAATGGTGGATACTTTACCATAATGATAAGAGCTAAAATTATAGGTTCCCATATCCTTGTGATGTATCTATAGTGCATGAAGGTGCTGTGCTGTGTTATGTTGAAAATTTCGCAATTTCCACCAACTTATAATTGTTTTGTGTTCATAGTAACCTTTTATACTCTTACCTTGAAATGATGGGTTCTGTATGTTTGGACGAACATACTGGTTTTTCTTACAGGAAGAGCTGGCAGGTATGGATCAAAGTTTCCTGTTGGTGAAGTGACTTGTTTACATGCAGATGATCTGCCCTTGCTTCATTCATCACTAGAATCCCCATCTCCGACTCTTGAGGTGATTATGCTATTATCTATTGCAAAGAACATTTATTTGATTCTTATGATGCATCTACTTCTAGATCTCAGTTCACATTGATGTGTCTCTTGTCCTCTAACCGGGTGCAATTGTTCTAATGCAGAGTGCTGGATTATTTCCTACCTTTGATCTTATGTATATGTATTCACGTTTACACCCAGAATGTGGTCTCTACCAAATACTGGTTGGTTTCATTATCATCTCTATATTCTTTATAACTTGTATCTGTTCCCGTGTATGTGTTTATTCATGGGCTCTGTATCTTTGAACGCATGCATACGAGCTTACATATGTTTGTGTGTACATGTGTGTATTAGAGAGGAACACTACAAAGATATGCTCAGGGTGATCAATTCAACTAAATTAGTGTGTCATGGAATACTTTATCAAATAAAAGAAAGCATAAAAAATAGGTATCATTTAGGGCATAGGTAAGGCTTGTTGACAGTTGAAGCTACTTCTAAAGTAAAACATGGGAAATTATTCCAGCTGATTACATTTCACTTGTACTTCACACGGACAGCGATTTGGATCTTGTTGCTGGTTGAAACCAAACATATAATGGATTTCACAATAGCAGGGTCAATCTATAAGTGGATTTGAACTTTTTAGATGATTTACACATCTTGAACAATAGTAAAGGAATGAATCCAAGATTGGTCATTTCGTGTTTGCTTTGAAAACTTTAAAGAAAATGAAAATTATCAGCTAACCAAAAATTAATTTGATTGTTGACATTCTATTTTATTGAAGTTTAAGCCTTCTGTTTAATGAGATATATTATGTATTTATATATCATTTCCTTCCCCTACGTGTTGGCAGGCACATTTTGTAGAGAATGCCAAATTATCAGACAATTATTTCATTGCTAACTGTGAAGAAGTATTGGTATGTTTGTGCTTTTTGGTGAATTTTAAATGAGTCAGGGAACTCAACATGGTATTTCTTGTTAGCAATTGATTTTGATAACTTTTTTTGTTGGTTACTTCCACCTTCACTTTGATCAGAAAGTTGCAGCTGTTATTGATGAGTTGCCTCTTGGGTTACCAGATAAGTACCGTTTTTGTATAAGGTAAATAAAGAAGAGACTTCTACCTGAGTTTGTCTTTTTAAGTTTTAGAATGAAATTTACCTTTTCAATAGGTCTTCTCTTTGATTCAGAAAATTTAGTTAACAATCATGTTGGGTTAGCTTTTTAACTTGTTCAGAATTAGATTCATTAATCATTGTGATCTGCAGCCCAGTTGACATGGATGATGAAATTTCATCCCAGGGTCTTACACAGGTAAAATTAATATACTGTCCTTGAGTGTGTACTGTTTAATCTTAATGGGAAGCCATTATAACAAGACTGTCCTGGTACAGTTTGCTCAAAGTTATGCAAATACCGGCATTGTTCGGCTTCGAGAAATATTCACACCAGGGACACTTAAGGTACCACAAACAGAAGCTGCACTCAAGGAGCTTGAATCCATTCACAAGGTAATATTGTTTCTTTAGATTGCCTATTTCCTGAGAAGGAATGTGGGATTCTAACTTCCAAATTTCACCATGGAATGCTTCACTCCCAAACCCAATTGATGGAAATCACTAAATTCTACCTCGTACAAATTAGTTTGGAAATGATTTCCAGAATGGCAGATGCCAGAAGACAAAATCCATCAGCTTCCTGTATAAATATGTACTTGCACTTTACCTGAAAGTACTCGGTACCGTACTTTGTATTCAGAATGATAAGATAAATGGTTTCTTTGACTTGAGCTTCTTAAAAGTAATGTCGTTTCATTTGAAACTACTCTGTGAGGTCAGCCTCTGATAAGATCTCTCTGTTGGTGCCAAAAATTGAAGGTTTTGGATCTCTATGTTTGGTTGAGTTTCCGGTTAGAGGAATCATTCCCAGACCGTGAGCTGGCATCTTCGCAGAAGTCGATGTGCAGCATGTGAGTTCACTTGCAACTGGCATTGGTTTTTTGGTTTTTGTTTTCTTTGTATCTCTAATTTGTTCTACTTCAAAATTGTAGGTTGATTGAAGACTTTCTGGAGAGATTAGGATGGCAGAAGCCGAGGTCCAAGAGATTAGCCTCACGTACTCCCTTAACTTCGTTATTCCGTAAAACAAGACAGTTCTTGTGAGATATTTATCGTTCCTTCAGCATGTCTATTCCCTCTCTTCTATGCCCAGTTGGATCACTCGAGGCCAAGAGAAACCTTTGGAATCTTCTCTTCACCTTCAGTGTGTTATCTGTCCACACATCAACTTCTCAGAAAGAGCATTAAGCTCCCAAACTGAAAAGTAGTTTATATTCTTTCACAAAAAAAGTAGTTTAAATTTGTAATTATGGAAAGCATTGTATTATTCTTTGTATGTATGCAACATTGGATGACATCATGACAATAGTGGTTGATGGAAGAGTTTTATTCTTTTCCCATTCTCCAAGTTCACACTGGACTTCTCGCTATTATTTTATTTTCCTTTTTTTGTTTTATGGTTAAGTTACAACTTACACGGCAAAATATGTCATGATTCTCACCAAACATGTTTTTTGGATGAACTGAGTACAAAATAAAGAGACCAACATTTCAAAACAAAATTGATCTTAAAAGATCTCTATTTGCTCACATCAAAGACGTGCATCTCTGTTAACAGCAATGTCTTTGGAATTCTCTAGGAATGGTCAAGATTACCAGTTGTGTCTCAGCGCAATAATTAGATAATGGTGAAAAAGAGATGCTATAATTTGATAATGGTCCAAGGGTACAAATCCGCATGACTCTTTGGGCATTCAGTGGCGGAAAGAGTTGCCTATATCTCTTGCTCTTTTGCCTGCAACATCAACTTTTCAACATGATTCTTCTCTTTCTCCATACTCTTCCCCTCCAATTCCTTTATCAACATGTTGTATGTGCTGTCCTTCGGAACGAATCCCTTCGACACCATTTCCTCAAAGAATGAGCAAGCATTTTCAAGCTTACCATTGCTACAAAGCCCACGTACCAAGAGTGCATAAGTTCCACCTTCAATGCTCACGTCGTTCTTAAACATGTGGTCTAACAAAAAGCAGAGCACCCTCATCCTCTTCTTTCTGCAAAACAACTTCAACAACGGGGCATAAGTCTTAAGATCCGGCTTGCATGATTCCTCCTCCATTTTCTTGAGCAACTTGAGAGCAGCCTCTTCCTGCGAATGTGCACAAGCAGAAGAGATCAGGGTATTATGCGTCAAAGTGTCCAGCTTTACACCTTGATTTGTCATGTCCTCAACTACTTCCTGAACATCCTTGAGCCTACCAGCTTTACCAAGAAGGAAAATCAAAGAGTTATAAAACGAAGTATCAGGAACACAACCACTCCTTTTCATCTTCTCATAAACCTCCAAAGCTTTAGTTATCTCCCTTGCCTTCCCTAAAGCATGCATTATTATAGTATATGTCACGGTATTTGGCTCACAAGCCTTGTCCTTCATTTCAGCAAGAACTTCAACAACTTTGCGAAAATCCTTGTCATGACAATATGCTTCAATGAAACAGGTATAAGAGAAAACATCGGGACGAAAACCGTGCTTCTCCATCTCCTCCATTGTGTTTCTAGCAATGTCTAGCTTCCTGGGTTTACACCACCCATGTATCAGAACATTGAAAGTTTGAGAATTCAAAGGTATAGATTCCTTAAACTCCAAGAAAACTTCATGGGCATGCTCAACACTTCTTTCCTTCACCAATGCACCCATGAGAGTGTTCAAGGACAGCACGTCTTTCCTCAAGCCGAATCGCTCGATCCCCCGAAATGCATCTATTGCCTCCTTGTACCGGCCAGCCCTTGCAAGCCTCCTCATCACCTTACTCATTGTGTCCAAAGTAACATACCCTCCTCCAATTTGGACCATTTCTTCAACCATCTCCCACATAAGCTCAAAATTCTCGGACTTGCCTAAAATGTCAACCATTGAGTTATATGCCTCCGGCGGATGCCTATAACCTGTTTGTGCTTTTGCCCAAATGAAGAATCCGAAAGCAGGAACCCATTCATTGCTAAACCTCCTCAAAACCCGTTCCACCAAACTGTTTGATAAATCCAAAACACACCCATCCAGAGCTTGAGCAGCATTTTTCCATGATGGGTATCCATTTTTCAAGATTCTACAGACTTTATCGATGTCGTCGGTATCAGCGGTCTCGCTGAGCGGGCGCTTGACAGCTTTTCTGGGGTCTCTGAGCTTCTGAGCCTCGACCCAATCGGCAAGAGAAGGGATAACAAAATCCTCATCAAGATCTGCCTTTTCTGGGCGTTTAGTGTCGAAGAATTTGACCCAGTTTGGAAGCTCGGGAGACTCGGTGACTTCACTGACTGGGGTTGGCTCAGTCAGGGTGCACAGAGGATTGCATAACAAGTGACGCAGCAGTTTGATGTTGGTTTTAGAAATGGAAGAGAGGTTGGGATTTTGGAACCTTGGAAGCATTTTTGGGAGAGAGACAGGGAAAGACTGCCAATCAATGTAACATTTTCTGTCAAATTAAATCATTGTGAGCAGTACCCGCAACCTTTTCAGGGGTAAATAGGACTTTTGACAGCTATTCCAATTCTAGATGAGGAGGTTGAGATGGAGAGGATGACGAGGAGAAGTATGAGGTTGAGATGGAGAGGGAGAGAGATAGCGGAGGAGGAGAAGAAGGGTTGAAGAGATTGGCGAGAGCGATTGAGAGGTTCGGGGAGGTGTATCAGAGAGTGGAGGCCGAGAAGTTGAGGCAGATGGTGGAGTTGGAGAAGCAGAGGATGCAATTCGCCAATGATTTGGAGGTGCAGAGGATGAATATGTTCATGGACACGCAGCGGAGCAACCACGGCAAGCGATCGGCCTCCAATGGTGAGCCAATTTTTATCTCTTTCTTGTGCGTGTATTCAATTAGATTGAATATTTGGTTTTTTTGTTTTTACTCTTGCGCATTTCAGTTTTTAGTTTTATTGATTTATTTTAAATTTTCTGATTTTTATAGTATTTTTCTTTATATTTTTAATTAATTTATTAATATTTTAGTATAAATTGACGATTTTACCCTTAAAGTAATAGCAATATTGACAGACTTAAACAGTAAGACCAATTTGCAAGAGTTGAACAACCATTAGAACAAATAATTTAATTGAATAACCAACACAGAATTCCACGTTCCGTAAATAGCCGAGTCATTGAGGAATATCTAGAAAGACATTTAGGAAATCGGTCTGATTCTATCTTTATTTGTTCTGTTTGAAGAAAATAAGTATCCCAAAGAATCGATCTTTCTTTTAGTTATTGAATTTCATCAATGTGTGATATTCAAGTAATCATTTGAGCCCTAAAATGCAAATCAAAGTGTTTAGTTTCTGAGTTGTACAATTCTTTAACTCTCTTTTTAGTCTTCCTAAACAGGAGCCTCTTATTTATGGTCAAAGGTAGAGACGGTCCTCTACATATTAGGGTCGGGTCGGGTCGACCTATGAGTTGTAGAGTAAAAACATTGAGTGGACGGGTCTCGGGTGGAGCCCGCAACGGAATCTCTCTCTCCACTTTGTCCTGTACAATTACGACCCGAATTGGTAAAACTAACTGAAGAAACTTCGACAGCAGCAGAAATACATCTTCTAATAATAATCGTTTTCCGTTTGCTGTTTAAAGGTCAGTCCCGTTGCTCTCTTTAGTGATCTTTCTGCAATTCATTTCTTCGTTCTTCTTCTTTGGGCCTTCTAATTTCTACGGTTAATTGTTCCCGAGGAAGGAACTAAATTTCCGTTCTTTTCTTTTTCTAATTAAGCAGTTGGGTGATTTTGTTCTGCCATTTCTGGAAAAGTATGAAGAGTCAATAATGTAAATAGGAATGTGTTTGTTTTGTGTTTGTTAATTGTTTAAAATATCATGCAAACAAGTCAGGCAAATGGGTCATTGAAAATTCACTGGAAGCATGCTCTGCAGAATTGACGAAATTGGTGGAATTCAGTGGTAAAAAGGACAGAGTTGATGAAATCAAAAGATCTGTTTGCATGAAATCATATTGAAAGTTCATGTTTGGTTTGCTTCTAGGAGAACCCATTTGTACCCTAAATAGGGTGTATCATGATTCATGAGAATTGAGTGACCTGTGATTTATAATTAAGAGATTAGCAGTCCAGCATGCCTTATCTAGGTGTGCAGTTTATTGCATGCCTTTTATCTGTTATTCATATGTCTAATTTATCTTGTTGGCCTTAGTTCTTGCCTATGGATTTCTTTATGAATTAATAGTAGGCAAACATTATTCGCAATTGTTCTCCTGTGGTCAGCCGTGTTTTGGAATTGAACAGCCTGCAGGCATTGTCTCGAATCTGATTTTATCCGAACATTGTTGTCTTTGTATTTAAAGATTAGAGACAGAATTGGTGATAGGATGTTTCCTGTTCCAAATGCCACCAGATTCTGTAATTTTCTCTAAAAACCTCTCCAGTAGCTAATTTATCGCACTAATGCTTTATGGTGGGTGGGCGGTGTGTGTGCTGCACAAAATGAGTAACTTATGGTTCTTTTGGTAGCTTTAAGTTTTTCATCTATTTTATATCGGCTCTCTGTTGTTTTAATTCATATGAATGCTGAATGAGTTATCCTATGCAGGTTACAGTCCATATACCATGAAGAGGGCATTTCCATGGGATGAGCAGGTTGATGTTATATCATCAGATGACTCTTCTTCCTCAGACATGGAGATGGAAACCAATATTGAGTCTGATAGCAAGCAGTTAACCAATAATACCACATCTGATCAACCTGCCAAAGAAAGAACATCTGAAGGTAATTGCTCAATCAAGATTTAGAGCCTTGTTTTACTGAAACTGGTGAACTAATGTATGTTGAAATTATAGTGTCAGTTAAGATTTATTTATAATGTTGCATAGCAAATTTTATGTTTTTTTTTTCTTTTTCTAAAATAAGATATTAACAAAAATGTAGTCCAACTGAAATGGTAAATTTTAAGTTCGAGAAACTTAATAGTTGTGTAAACTTATGCACGCTCTATCATGTTTAGAACTACATTAACATCATCGAGAAATTATGAATCTGTGAAAATCTCTGATCCAAGCGATGTAATACTGTTTGTTCCAGTAAATGAATTACCAGTTTTTACCAAAATGCTTATTTGCTAAGATTGTCCAAGAAGTTTTATTTTTCCCTTATTTTGCACTGTAATGGGTACATAATTGGTCATTCTTAAACTTGTCAGTGACAATGCTATTAACTAAGATGAAGAACATATGTACTCGTAAATGTCATCGTTGGGGTTTTTTGAGCTTTTTTTCGCTGAATATAGTAATCTCAATATGTGATAACCTCTTTAGGAAAATGAGTGGCTAATAGGTTGCTGTTTATATCCACTATGGCACTTTACCATATTTCTTTCCTGGTACCTTAGTGGCCTTGATGACTACAATGCTGTTAGGGTGGTTTGCTTTTTTGGTCTCTCTAAGTCCTCTAAACATGCTTTAAACTATAGGTGCTTTGGTGCGAAGGGCAGAGATGTATCAGGAGTACATGAAGCAGATCCCGATCCCAGCGCACCGTGGCTCTGTTATTCCATTTACCTCATGGATGGGGTTAGGCAAATCCATTAAGCAGTTATATGGACAACCTTTGCATTACCTCACCAATATTCTCCTAAAACAGTGGGACCAATTGAGGATGGGCAGTGAGGAAGAGTACAGGCCCTTGGATACCATAATTCATCCATGTAAAGCCGAAGCCACCATCTGGCTCATGGAAGAAGTCCACCGGCACACCTCATCTCATTATCATATAGCCAATCTTTGGCTATCAGATCCGATGCATCATGCCTTTGTGGATTCCATCTTTCCGCAGTTACGAAGCAAATCATGAAAGGCCTTTGGGTTTTACCAACTGTTACATTCTGCTTGTTAATTTTGTCATGTAAAATGTTTGTTAAATTCGTAAATCTTTTTTGGTCAATAAATTCGTAGATTTGGTCTTTTATTTCCCCTTTTTTATTTTTATTTTTTTATTTTTGGTAGTTCCTAATGAAATAAAGGGCATATTTTGTTTTCCACCCTTCTCTTCCTACTTTAATGGCTGTAAGTGTTTACTCTTAGCACAAAATCGTTGAACACTAACCCAAAAAGAACAAAAGATTATCAATGAATTCAAAACACAGGCTTTAGAGTGCCACTTTGTAAGAAGATCCTCAGCACACACAAAAATAAGATAATTCTGATGAAATAGGCTTTCATTTCTGAAAGTGACAAACTACCAACGATTGGTTGCCCATGATAAGAGACCAAGCCAATGATAAGAGACCAAGCCACTAAATCATTGGTGAAGTTGCAGTGGATGGTTGCTCCTCAACATCCTTCTGTTTTCTACGATGCCTTCGTTCCTCATTATGCTTCCGTTTTCGAGGATTCGTTGGTTCCGAAGACAAGTTAAGCGGGTTCTCTTGCTGATGTTCGATGTTAGTATCATCGATTTTCATGAGAACTGAGGCTCTTCGTTGTAGGTTTCGCTTTTGATGATTCATCAGTTTCGAAGACTCTGAAAACAACTCCTCTTGCTGATTATTGACTGCCATGCCGTAGTTTAAATTATCCTGGTCGCATACTAGGAGTAGGTCAACACTTGAGCTTTTCAAGAAAACTGGTCGCGCGCTCCCAAAGAAAAATCTAACTTCACAGGTATAAGGACGAAACCGAGGCTGTGTTTCAAATATCTGTGACTTCTTCCAAGTCCTTAATGGAATATACTTGAGCCACACATGAGCAGACGTTGTCTTTCTTGAATAAGAAAAAAACTCATAATCACGGTTTAAGCATACATCGCTGATGGAAATTGTAGCTCCAAAATGCCAACCAGTATTCTGTACGACCTTATAAACAGCACAGAAAGCCAATCCTGTGCTCTCCAATTGGACTGTTGCAGGAATTTCAAAAGAAAATTCACATATATCACGCCTATATCGAGGGGTTTCAACAAGAAGTTCACATTTATGATAGGGGAACCACTCCGGAACCTCATATCCAGGAAGTACAACGTCAAATGCAGAGTCATGATCAGAAGATGCCTGTAACACAAGAATAACAATGTTAACTACATGTGTGTGTGTGCGCTTTGCACATGTGTACACACACACACATATATATATATATATATTTGCGTAGAGAGAGTGAGAGAGGATATAGAGACCTGATTCAGTAAAACATTTTCAATCTTTGCCACGCCATGGCCCAGATTAGAACACAATCTATAACAATTAGACAGGTTCATCCAATAAATCCCTCGCGATTCTTCTCTGTGTTTGAATGTCTTTGACAATTTTGAAAACCTTTCCAATGATTCACAATCACTCGCAACTAACCAACGTATCGTTGGTGGAAGCTCGGGAATTTCTCGAAGCCTCTTGCAGCAATGCAGGTCAAGAACCTTTAGATCTTGCAACTCATAAATGCTGCATGGCAGAGTTGTAAGATCTTTACAATTTGATAAGTACAACTCTTCAAGCCCAATGAGATATCCAATTGATGAGTGCAATTCTTTAATGGCAGTGCCTTGTAGATTCATATATCTTAAGGATTCCATCTTTTCTACAATTACTGGAAAATTCTCAAGCCTAAAGCAATTGCCCAGCTCCATAACTTCTAAAGATTTCAAGCTTATTTGTGCTGGAAACTTCATGAGGTTAGAGCAGCCCTTGAGACTCAACATAACAAGTTTATCAAGGAATCCAACGGAAGGATGAACCTCAACTAAACTTGTACAGTAATCTAGATTCAATTTCTCTAAGTTTGTGACTCCAGTGAAGTCCGGGATTTTCTCTAAGAACTTACAGCCTTCAAAATTTACGGATGTCAACTTTGGCAAATTCTGTGCAACAAGAAAGAGAATCAAATGAAGCTTCAAAGAAATCTTCAGC